GGGGCAGGGGTATCCGGGTATACCCCTGCCATGGTTAATTTATGTTTGGCACTTTAAGTTGGTATGTTGGAATATGTTGATACGTATGTTATATATATATATGTATATGTGTTATTTATATGGGGGTCATTGCCTGTTATATTAACAGAAGGATTTGGTTACGAGGGCGGAGTATGGGGGCAATGACCCATGTTTATTGTTAAATTATTATTGCTATGGTTATTAATATGGAAATTAATAAATTATTATTATTCAAGATTGTTTAAATAAAGCTGTGGACAAATTTTCCCATATACCTTTGTGTCAGTGAGTTATTGGGTTAGGTATGTGGGAGGGTTGTCCTGGAGTCCGACTGCCCATATGGCGACTATACACCGGTCATGCTCTATTTGCGATCAGTTGTGTAGATGAGCTAAATCCTTTCACCCAGAATGATAACTTGCAGAGGCAGCCCCAAATTGTGATCCTGACATTATCTAATCTCCTTTCGGGGACCATAAAGCTTCACATCCTAGGTCAATGCTGCAGTTAGAGAAGAGTTAGGAATCCCCCTCCAAACTCCAGTAATTCCTGTTTAACATCAAATAACTCTGTGGTTATTATTGCTGAAAGCTATTTATTTTACCAAAGAGTTATCATAATTAATTTACTATGTGGTTACTGTTTAATTTATTATAAAGTTATCATCTAAACGATCACGCCGGTTGCTGCTTATACTGCGCTGCAACGAATGGTGAATTAATCCCCCCCTCAAATTCTCCCATGATTTATACACGTATCCACACGATTTCGAAAAAGCTCCTGGCTCTAAGCTATTAGACTTTATTTGTTAAACTAGCAAGGGAATTGCACAATGTGGTCCAAAACAACCAAACTGGAAAAATAGCTAAAAAAATGTATTTTAGGATAAATTGACAGTTTTTTCTATAAAGGAACTGTCACTTTCCAGTATTTTAATATTTTCACATAGGCCTATATTTAACACGTAAGCAGCCATTGTTATAAGCTCTGTCCTTCGCACATTGCAGTCGGCATAGAGAGAGCATGCAGAGAAGAGAAAAAAACCACCTTAACCACCTAATGTCAATTCTGGACGCTGTCGACATACGTGATAATCGTCCCTTTGCAGGCGCTATTGCTAGCTCAACCCTTCCACCCTCACTCTGGCCTCCTTCCACCGCGTTGTGCACCCTCACTGGTGGGACTGGCAGTGTACCACTCTACTCACATGTAAGAACTTTTATGTTTCATTTAAATAAATTCAACTTTTTATTCTTATTCTTCGTGCCTTCATTTGATCTATTTTGGAGGCTCCATCTGCTGAAATCTCCACCCCAGATCACCTAAATCACTCCTATGCTGATATACTTGAGCCAGTAAATGTTAAAGTGTTTTACATATGTATTTTGTACATAAGCTTTATTGCACCATGGGAGTTATTATGTTTCTTTTTGTCACATATGTCACATTTAAAAAGAATTCATATGGCGCATGTATCACATATTCACAGTTCAGTTACACAAAGGGCGCTGTTCACTTTTTTCGTTTGTATATTACTTTGTATTATTGGTGAAAATGAGTGATTGATTAAGTGCCAGCATTTTGTCTTTTTTACATATTTTGCATTCACATTTAGCATTTGTTATTTGCGGTGCCAGGTAATTGTGCATCTCTTTACAGTAACATTTTCCATAGTGCCCAATAGGGCATTTTACACAGGAAATCCCCCCTCCTCCCCCCCTTAGAGTAACCCTTTAATCAATGTTTCGAGCATTTGTAATGTTTGCCCAGACTATGCCTTGTTTGAACTAGATTATGATGTCATCATTTACTAAATCTTTGGAATAAATTTAATGGAAAATAAATGGTTAGCACATATTATTGGAAATGATCAATGTTTTATTCAATAAACCCCATATAAATCACACTGGGATCCTGGCTTGTCAATATGCAATTAAAGAACAGTCAATGCATTCGCGATGAGCCAGTCAGTTGAGTGACAGGTCAATATCGCCACTGCTTGACGCGCATGTGGCGTGGGAGCAGCTTCGACCTTTATAGTAAAATGTTACTGAATAAAACAGACAGGACCAGCCTCTCATACTAATGGAAATTGGCTGCAACAGAATCAACTCCAAATATTTCACTTCTTACAAACAAAATCTGTAATTCTGAATATTAATAATGCATATAATCAATCTATATATTAAAACATATTTTATTACATTTTTGTAAACATTGGATCTGCTTTAGCCACTGGCGAATGTGCGACCTTTCCCCAGACACTGCGAGTTCTGTTACTTGGAGCGAAGGTACCACATGTTCACAGGTCATTCAATAAAGGGAGAATTGTCTGGAATTTCAAACTTAAGTCAAGATCGCCAAACTAAAAACAGAATTCACTTGGAGACGTTTTCTAATTTGGTGTTTTGACCTATGTGTCGTAATTCACTTTGAATTCACTATAAAATCCCAGCAATTCTCACCTTAGTAAATAACCTTGACAGACAGAGAAATTAGGAAAAAGCCCTGGGAGAGACTTGCTCTTTTACCAAATAAGCTGTGCTGGTTATCTGCAACATTACGGCCCCCAATCACAATGAAAGCATCTTTCTCAAGGGAAGTCCAGGTGATACACAGACACAGAGATGTTATTGTTTTGTGTATCACCCGAACCCATTTTGTTTGACTGTTAGTCCCCCTCATACTCTCTAATACAAGTGTAGGTAGCCACCAGCACTCCCGTTGTAAAGGACTGCGTTTTACCTGATGTTTTGCCAGCATACAACATACAAAATCCAGCGTACTCACTCACACACCAAACAGCAATGTCAAATCTAACAGAATGTAATAGTTTTATCTAAAAAGACCTAATCTAGGCAAAAATAATTGGGTTTAGTTAGAGTATATGATCCTATGCCCCTTATTACAGTCTGTGTGGGGATCCTGTGCCCCTTATTACAGTCTGTGGGAGGATCCTGTGCCCCTTATTACAGTCTGTGGGAGGATCCTGGGCCCCTTATTACAGTCTGTGGGAGGATCCTGTGCCCCCTTATTACAGTCTGTGGGAGGATCCTCTGCCCCTTATTAGAGTCTGTGTGGGGATCCTGTGCCCCTTATTACAGTCTGTGGGAGGATCCTGTGCCCCTTATTACAGTCTGTGGGGGGTTCCTGTGCCCCCTTATTACAGTCTGTGGGAGGATCCTGTGCCCCTTATTACAGTATGTGGAAGGATCCTGTGCCCCTTATTACAGTCTGTGGGAGGATCCTGTGCCCCCTTATTACAGTCTGTGTGGGGATCCTGTGCCCCCTTATTACAGTCTGTGGGAGGATCCTGTGCCCCTTATTACAGTCTGTGGGAGGTTCCTGTGCCCCTTATTACAATCTGTGGGAGGATCCTCTGCCCCTTATTACAGTCTGTGGGAGGATCCTGTGCCCCTTATTACAGTCTGTGGGAGGATCCTGAGCCCCCTTATTACAGTCTGTGGGAGGATCCTGTGCCCCTTATTACAGTCTGTGGGAGGATCCTGGCCCCCTTATTACAGTCTGTGGGAGGTTCCTGGGCCCCTTATTACAGTCTGTGGGAGGATCCTGTGCCCCCTTATTACAATCTGTGGGAGGATCC